GGCGGGCCGTGCCAGGCCAGGCACGATTAGCACAGGCCGGGCCGGGCCGTTTGGCCAGGTTATAGCTGGCCAAATGGGCCGGGCCTGGCATGCCGACCCGCAAGCACGCTGGCCCGACACGTGATGGGCCAGGCCCGGCACGCTCTAATCGGGCCATGCCAGGCACGCTGCCTGCCTTGGGCCATGCCTGGGCCTGAAGGTTGGGCATGCGGGCCGACACGGCACGACCCGTTTATCTTTTTTTATTTTTTATACAGATTATATATATATAACACATAAAAACAGCCCAACAGGCCAAAATCAGCCCAAGAAACAACCTAGCAGGCCATCAGGCTAGTGGGCCATCGGGCCGGCCCGTGCTTGGGCCGGAGGGGGCAGAACGCAGGCCGCACGGCACGGCCCGACTAATAATCGTGCCATGGCGGGCCGGGCCGGGCTGTGCCGGCCCGTTTGGCCAGCTATAGGCCAGGTATAGGCAGCGTAATAATAAACGGGCCCGTTGTTGAGTTCTCTGCTGCTGCCAAGGCCCAACAACAGATCAGAACCCCTCCTTTTCCCCTCTCGTGTTCGACGGTGTCCATCGACCTCTCGCCGCCGCCACCGAAGCTCCAAGGTAATCCAGCAGATCTTCTTCCTCCCTCTCCACTTTTGCTACTTGGCGGAGTACTCATGGCTGTTTATTTCGCGATTTGCTATTGGGAATTGTTCTTGTAGGGGTTCTTGAGGAGGAGAGGAGGAGCGATGCCGGACCCTAACCTGGACGATCTGCTTCTCCAGGCCGCGGGTCGGACCGTGGGGAAGGGCGGCCAGTCCCGGCAGTCGAACCAGCGCTGGCAGCAGCACGGGCGCCGCGCTGGGGGCTCCTACTCCGGCGGGAGCGGCTCCGATGGCTCCGACGACGGCGACTCCGACTCGGACGTCGCGCCGAGCCACCCGAGGAAGAGGCTGCCGCCGGGCTCGCAGGTGCCGCTCAAGAAGAGGCACCAGACGGGGAAGGGCGGCGGCCGGGGAGGAGGAGGGTACGACGACGAGGACCCTGATGACGAGGGGAGGCGGAGCGGGGGTGAGGACTCCGACAGCGCGCCGTCCGTCGGGAGCGACCTGTACAAGGACGAGGACGACAAGGAGCAGCTGGAGAACATGACGGAGCTGCAGAGGGAGATGATCCTGGCGGAGCGGAGCACCAGGATCGACGACTACAAGCTCAAGAAGCTGGCACGGGCGTCCTCGTCCAAGGCGGATAAGGCCCGGAAGGACAGCCCTCCCCCACCGCCCAGCCGGCTGCGGGCCTCGGCCCGGACTGACAGGTCTGCCACCAAGAGCGCACTCGACGAGCTGCGAGCCAAGAGGATGAGGCAGCAGGATCCGGAAGGGTACCGTAACAGGTTCAAGGATCTGGTTCCCAAGAGTGGCGGCTCGCCTAATAGACGCAGGGCTGGAACCCCCCCGAGCGATGGCAGCAATGATGGCGGTAACAGGGGGAGGATGAACGACCATGTTGGGATTGCTGAGGATAATCGGGATGATGAGTTTGACGAATCACCAAGTAGACTTGACCCTCTCAAGTTTGATGATGTGAAGAGCATAACCCTTCGGAGGTCAAAGCTGGTGAAGTGGTTCATGGAACCCTTTTTTGAGGACCTTGTATCTGGTTGCTTTGTGCGGCTTGGGATTGGCAAGACAAAATCAGGCACCCCCAAGTACAGGCTGTGCATAGTTAGAAACGTGGATGCTAACGACCCAGATCGGCAGTACAAACTGGAGAGTTACGAAACATGCAAGTATCTCAATGTTGTATGGGATAATGAAGCTAATGCTGCTCGGTGGCAGATGACTCAGGTCTCCGACTCTCCTGTCCTTGAAGAAGAGTTCAAGGAGTGGCTTCAAGAGGCTGAAAAGAATGGCGTACGCATACCAACCCGGCAGGAAGTGCTGGAGAAGAAAGAAGCCATTATAGAGGCCTACAATTTTGTGTATTCAGCAGCTACTGTACAGCGGATGCTGAAAGAGAAATCAGCTGTGAGACGTCCTATGAATGTTGCTGCTGAGAAGGATAGGTTGAGGGATCAGTTGGAGATGGCCCTGGTCCGGAGGGATGATGCAGAAGCAGAAAGGATCCGTGCAAGGCTGAATCATCTGCAGAAGATTGCTCAGCCAATGTCAACTAATGAGAAGGCAGCAAAGTTAGAGGAGATGAACAGGAAGAACCGTGCTGAGAATTTCAAGAATGCATCAGAAATGAAAGCTGTTAATACAAGTTTGAAGGCTGGAGAGGCTGGTTATGATCCTTTCTCAAGGAGGTGGACAAGATCGAGGAACTATTATGCAGCAAAGCCAGAAGGAGAAGCAGAAAATGCTGAAGCCGCCAATGGCAACAGCGATAATGTAATAGCTGTGACGGAAGCTGTGAAGGGTGGGGTGCGAGTTGGTACAGCAGTCACAGCTTCAGCTCTAGTAGCAGCTGCTGAAGCTGGGAAGCTGGTTGATACCAACGCACCTTTGGATCTCGGGACAGAAACGAATCCGCTACATAATTTTGAACTTCCTATATCATTGGCTGTTCTGGAGCAGTATGGTGGACCCAAAGGTCAGTTTGAGGCCTACATGGCGAGGAAGCAGAAGATAGAAGCAACGATGGGTTACAAAATCCCTGACAATGATGGAAGGAGGCATGCTCTAACTCTGTCTGTGAGCGACTACAAAAGGCGACGTGGTCTTCTTTGAAGGATATATCTCTGCTCAATGTATCTGTCCTCTTGGCAACAAGACTTTCTGCCCGCTGTGACGAATTGTCCAGACCAGTTGCATAAATACATTTCATGGCACGAGACAGGCGGATTGTGCGTTTATTTTCATAAATATATAGACCTGTACGTCTGAAAGTGTTGTTGACATTTCATGGCGTTTTTTGGGGCAAATACATTTCATGTTTGTATTTGTGGATTGCATCAGTTCCTTTGAATCCTATCAGTTGTTGCTCTTGCTTAAAACAGTGGATGGTGCCAGGTGGAAATGTTCTGTTTCTGTATGTTTGTTATATGTTTTTTCTCTTTCCTGATTGACCTGTGAATGTTTTTTGGTCTGTAGATTGGTTTGCATTGTTAGTTTGGTCAAACCCAATGTTGATTTCGATGTATTTCGGCGCTCGTGTTGACGATATTCTTGGTGTTATGCTTTCTGTACGGCTCAAGGCAGTTGTAGCTCGGGAGTCACTGATGTATTCACGTTTCTGTACGTATGAAATGACAGCTACTGTATCTAGATTTATGCTTATCATTGCATTCTGAATGCTCTGCTCCAATACAAGTCTTTGCGCAATCAAGATATTTGTATCACAAACTATAGCTGTTGATAAATGAGAGAAAGTATGTTTCTGGCATGAACAGCGCATTCTTCATATGGACCGGAACGTAGTGACAAATTCTTCTTGCCAAGCTAAATAATGCTACCCAGGATCCCAACCTAACAACTCCATTTTTGTCCAAATTGCGGAGTAAATGTTCTTCTAGATGTGGTATTCCTTTACTGATTTTTTTAGCGGAGCCCTGGCTTGTTGTATCCGTTTGGATTTCATATTTCCGGATGTGAAAAGAGGTATAAATATCTTTTTCATATTTCTGGATGTGAAAAGAGGTATAAATATCTTCATATACCAAACGTTCGCTAATTAGTACCGCGTCTTCAAAATTATAACCTTTCCATGGCATATCAGCTACTAATACGTTTTTCCTAAAGCAAGTTCGCCTCCAATTGTAGCAGCTCCTTCTGCTAAAATTTGTTCTTTTTTTAATGGATTTACCCCGTGGAACTCGGGTTTTTTGGTGCATACAAGTATTTTTGTTAGAGCGACGGTGTTAACTAAGGGAATACTTATAGTCTTCCCACTACTTGCATATTGTTGTGTAACTTACACCGAAGGCACAGGGAATTACGCAAAAAGACTACATATGGAGTCAGAAGTTTCGTAAGCTTAGACTAACAAATGAGTTCGTACGTTGCAACGGATGAAAAAAACACTTCCTAATCTAATAACCATGAGTCCAAAATTTAATAGGTCTATGTCATTTATTTCAACACATGGCATCCCATCTGTGTTTCTATTTATCTTTCTTCCCATTCTCGTCGACGCTGGCCTTAGTGTTGACATCAATACAACACGTTTCATAAGACGTTCCCTCTCGGCATACGATGCAAATGAACCCGTGCATTGCAACGGATGAAAAAACCCGTGCATTGCAACGGATGAAAAAAAACACTTACTAATCTAATAACCATGAATTCGTAAGTTCATATCCTTTATTTCAACACATGGCATCCAATCTGAGTTTCTATTTATCCTTCTTCCCACTCCCGTTGACGTTGGCCTCAATCTTAAGACGTCTCCCTTTCGGCATAGAATGATAAATCTATTTTTTCTGTGTAGTTTATAGATACTGTTTTTGTTCCCCATCCTAGTTTTGCCGAAGTGTTCATTTTCAATTCGGAGCGGCACCGCTATGAAGGAAAGACTGATCATACGCTATTGATTAACATTTCATCGTAAATAGCATTTTTTAAAATGGTTAATAGTTAAAAATAATATCATATTCAGATCCTACATATTATTCTAATCAAATTTCATATATAACATGTTAAATTTCGAGTTAGGGTTAAAAAGCTATGGATTTTTTAAAAATTGATTAATATGTACTACGGGTTTATTACCAAAAATTTAAGGGGATTTTCTGCAAAATAGCATGACGGACCAAGAATACCTATTTCTTTTATTAGTAGGTATAGATATAGAAAAAAGAAGTTTCATAAGCCAGACGCCTCAAAAAAGGAAAAAGGAAAAAAAAGGGCTTAAACTTATGATTCAAAGCACATGTCATTATACCTCAACCATGATAGATTTTATTCGTATCATATTAAGCTGGTTCTGTGCCGTTTATCCATTCGTCGTTATTACAAAGAAGCTTCGCGCCCAAAGATCAAGTACAATGTTAGCAATCAAACTGGCGTTAATCATTCTTTGCTTTCATGAACTTCTTGATGATGCCCATCATCTCACTTCCAGGGAACCGCCCAAGGCAGCCCCTTGCAGCAGCAATCTCGGTGTATTCACACACTTTATCGCCGCTAAAAGCTTTACGCTCTTCAGGCTTGTGTTCCGCTGGTTCTGAATCATCGGTTAAATCTTCTCCGGACTTAACCGAAGGCAGTGGGAAATCGTCGAGGGGGGTGTTCATCACATTGTCCTCCCCAATTGCTCCCACAAAATCTCTCAGCCGGCATATCGCAAACGGGACAGGTTCGAAGCTGTGGTCTCCGTACTCAACCGGAGTAGAGTGGTCTCCAGTGACACAGAGGAAGTACTGGTACTGCCCGGACTTCTCAGCTTCCCACAGGAGCCTTGCAAGCTGACCAATAGCCCGGTCAACAGCTTCCAGGCCTCGCACCTTTAACTTGACAGCCTTGTCATGGCCAGCATCATCAATAGCCTGCATTAACGTTATAAGACAAACTATCAGCATCACACAGTTAATACTAGTTGTAAAGAGAGCCTATATTTATGTTAACCTTGATGTGCAAGAAACCAAAGTCATATCCGTCTTCTCTTCCGGCTTTATATTCATCCTCTCCAGGCACAAAAACACGAGGTGGCGTGTCCAGAGGAGCAGAGAGTGCCTTGGCTATAGCTTTTGCCTTGGAAGTTAAGAGAGTTCTATAATCTCCAGTTGCTCCAGGTGCTTCAAGGATATCAATGCCCAATGACAGCCCCAGCCCGGCTATGATCTTGGTAGGAGCTACCATGCACGGCGTGAGTCCATGCTTGGTTTCAAAGGGAGGTACCTAGTATAGGCGCATGCCACTTCATTAGAATGGAAGTCAAGTAGCATCAAGTTCCAGCAGGGAACTCTTGCATGCTTTAGATGCGAAACTCTTATGCTCGTAGGAGTAATCTTCAATAGATTTGGAAGAGCCAATGTAGGTGTTGGCCAAAAGTATGTTCCTATATGTGTTATGATGACAAGATACCCTAAGCTTAAGTTGGTAAAAAATCAACATTAGAACTCAAGAATCAGATCAGGATTATACTTATTTTGATGGGATTGAACCATGGTACTCCAAAGCAAAGAGCATTGTGCAAACCTTTCCAAACCTATTAAATTTATTCCTATTTATTACTGCAGGAATTATCAATTTATCACGACAGATAACACCCCATTCTAGGAATTAGTAGTTGCACGAGACAAATATTGAGTTCACTAACCTCAATCCGGATACCACAGCCTCGCAATAGCACAACATTAGCAATATTCTTCCCCTCGACTGCACGCTTTGCATTGATGGGTTGAGAAACCAGTATACGCGTGATCTCCTTAGAGAGCTCGTTAACCAAAGCTGCGGTGTTTTTGGCTTCTTCCGAATCATCCAAAGGTTCAGCCTTTAGATGCAAGCGGTTGTCTTTCAACGGATCAGTTCCGGAAATGTTTCCACTTAGCCTTGGTCCTTTGACAACCACACCACATCTGTGCTCAGTAGCGTACCTGTAGAAAGGTGTTAATTATGGTAATAGGAAAAACAGTAATAACACATCAATGCTCAGTATGAATAGGTGGTGCACCTGACTCTCACTTCATATTCGGGAAACGATGGAAGCTTCATCCCATCTAATGCAGCACAGAGGATTGGGCCTTCCTCCTCAAAGTGCCTATCCGCCCTCCTGCTGACGATAACCCCCGTGCTTTCGTCCAATGTAGCAAAGTTCGACTGTGTGGGTAAATAATTCAGCAAAGGGAAACAATACATTCATCAGTTCAGACACACCGTTTACTGCATGGCTTCAAAAGTACTCCCTCAGTAAGTAATGATCTAAACGCTCTTATATTTCTTTACGGAGGGAGTGCCAGTCTACAATCCAGGGCAATAATTCAGCAAAGGGAAACAACAATACATTGTTAGTATGCAAAAATCTAACAAGAAAGGGCTCCAGTTTAGTAAAGGAATTACAAGACCAGTCAATGATCTGAACCATTAACAGTAAACTACCTAGCAATACTCTATGAGGTAAGCTAAGTAATTAGAAATAATAAGGCACAAGAGCGTACTAAGGCTGATATACTGCTATAAGAAGTAAGAAATGTAATCAACCGTCGCCAGAACCAGACCTTGAAGGCGATGTCGCCCGGGGCCATGGCGAGGCCGGCGCCCATGGACTCGAACGCGCCGCGGCCGCGGTAGTATACGCGGGGATCGTACCCGAGGAGGGAGAGATGCGCCGTGTCGCTGCCGCAGGCGAGCCCGGGCTCCACGGGGTCCATGAGCCCGACCACCCCAGCCGCCGCCACAGCGTCCAGCCGCGGTGCCGCGGCCGCCTCCAGCGGTGTACGCCCGCCGAGGGACGGGATGGTCACGTCCCCTATCCCGTCCACCAGCACGAACGCCACCCTGCTCCTCGCCCCCGCCGCCGCCGCCATCGCCGACGCAAAGATGCCGCCCTCTTTTGCTTTTCCCTCCTCCCCTTGCTGCCGCGGCGAGCAGCTAAGCGGCGAGCGGCGCTGGCTAGGTCGGACCAGCTACGTTGGATCCGGACCCAGACCAGGCGTCCCACCCGGTCGGTTCGCTCGTTACAAGAACCGACCGAGGCCGAACGCCTCCGCCCCAAATCTCCAAACGCTTGGCGCTCGCTTCGCCTTCGTGCGCCTATTCCCCTCCCCCTCGCCGCCGGCGATCGCCGGGATCCTCCGCCGAGCGTAGGAGATCTCTCCGCGCCACCTTGCCGCTTCTCCTGCGTCTTCCTCCGCCTCCGGCTCACTTTTTTCGCGCTTTCCTAGTCGCGGAATTTGGCATGTGACAAGTGGGATTGCGAGGGGGAAGGAGGCGCCCGCCGGCGAACAGTCCTACCGGCGGAGACGCCTGCGGCGCCAGAGGGCCACCGATTGACACCGAGATTTCCTCAACATCCCCTGATTTTTTCGGCATTTTTTGAGGGCTCGGCGTCGTCCAGGAATTCGGCTATTGCAGGTGAGGCACTTGTGAAGTTAAAAGAAAATTTCCCGTGTGTTTTTTACTGGGGTCAGTTCGTCAAAATTTAGTCGTAATTCGATCTAACTCCGTGATTCGTTTTAGTGAAGCCCTGACTTGTGAAACAAGTTTTTGAGATTCCTAAGAGTTTTTTATTCGGAATTTGATCTCAAATTTGAAATGAATTAGCGACTAGTGGAATGATCATAGGTGTATGATATTCGGATTGTCACATTGTACATGACACTGCTTCGCGTGCTTTGCCTGTTAGTTGCGCACTTATCGTTGTTTGAAACGTTTAAGTGTAGTGTGATCTGAAAGTAGGAGAGGACGTAATGGTGGGGAGATCAAACTTGCATTCGGGGCACACATTTTAGGATTTCATTAGATTTGCCGCAATGTGAGAAGCTGGATGGGGAATGTCAATGTAACATCAGTTCAATTCTAGGTATTTTTTTTACAGTTTTGGTTTAACTCTCAGGAGTGTGAAAAGATTAGGCCCCGCATGCAAATGGAACTTACGCAATACTGGCTGATAAGTTGGCGAGGTGACAGGGTATTGAGTTAACAGTACTATATTCACAATTTTCATGGCGATGCTTAGAGAGCTTGGAGTTTGAATTGTCAGCGTAGGTCTGTGATTATTTTTGTTCATTGTCTCAGCCTTGAATGTTTAGGATTTAATTTCATTTTATAAATATTCAGAAAAAAATGACATGTTGAATTGTGGACATCAGCAACTTCTAGTGCCAAATGTTTTTAAGTTTGTTTCTAGTTATGAAATGCGAGCTGCACTTGTGTTGTTGAAATTTCCCATTAGATTTGTTCATGAATCGGTGGCACATGGGACACCACATACCGGTGACATATCTGCGCATCCGTTTTCTCCATGGAGAGACTAAATGCTGGAAAGACAATGACCAGGCATATAATCAAACTACTAGTTCTGAATTAGTGAACGCATTGCAAAGTTTCTTGCAACATGATATCACCCACATCCAACTTTGGATGTTTGAATAAACTTTAACTAATATCATGTGCATTTGGTTCAATGTAGGTTGCTATTACAAAATGGTCTGCATGGCTGGACATTTTAAAATGGCTTCTGTGCTGAAGCTAATGATGGAAAATCATGCCACACCTGGTAAACTATAACAAATGAGCTTCCATTTAGTTTATTCTCTTGATTTTATTGGCGGATCCCCAATTCCCCATATCCACCAGAGTAAAACCAGTAGCATTGGTATTATAAAATTCAAGTCATGATGCCTTTCCAGCTGTTTTCTTGATTGCAAAACTATTGGTTTGTCTATATAATATAGAGGTCAACATGACTTCAGTCTCCAATATAAGTTTCCATTTTCACGAATACCTGTGACCTGTATACTTATTATGTCTCCGTTTACATTATCTCTGTTTGGAGGTAGTGTAGTGACCTTAGAAATTTCACCATCTGTATGCAAGGTTATGTTTTTTTTAATCATATTTGGAGAACTGAATTTCGGTTACTTGCCTCCATATTTCATTTTGCTGGATTTTTTAAACATAGCTCTCATAAGAGAATAAAATAAATGCTCATTGTTTGAAAAACGTATATAACTTAAACCTTCTGGGTATTTGAGAATGAAAATAAGATTCCCCCCTGACATATTGGCAGATGAGGTGATTAATGAGAAGGGTGCTTCACATATCCTACACAAGCAACTTCTTAGCGCACATGAACCAAATTTGCTTGATGAAGATGGTAAGTTCCTTCCATTTCTTGAACCAGGAGATCAGAGACTCACACACTAACATTACAACTTCTGCGTGCCTTTATCAGTGGCACTATTTTTCTAGCAACCATTTTTATTACTCAGTTTTGTCTGATGTGTATTTTATTTGATAACTGATCAGTTTTTCTCAGTTTGTTTCTCGGCTCATATACTACATGTCATGTTTATGTTGTGACACACAGTGCCATTATATTGTATTCACATTGTAAAGTTATCAGTTGACGCCACAATTTATGATTTAGTTATGTGCAGATATGCATATATTCGGATCAAAACCTATGGCTGATCCATTGGACCTGGTATTTTTTGATAAATCTAGATTCCCCCTTTTTCATTTTCTGCTTCCAATTTGAGCTAACATCTTATATTGAAGGTCCGCTGTGATACATGCCAGAAGCCTGTTAAGGCCAGCCATTATGCACCTCATGCAGGTATTGTTCAACACGTTACACTAAACACTGTTTTGGTGTAATTTAGTTCATATGATAGCATGACAGTGAATATGACTCCAGACTAGTCAGTGCATAAACTACATACTGTTTTGGTTGGAAACAATGCTGCAAACATCTATTTAGCATGACTCCAAGCTAGTCAGTGCATAAACTACATAATTTGCAGTATGTATATCCAAAAGGCCCCATGTCGTTGTGTTGTCATAATTTGACTTTAGTAATGACTATTGGCACAACCACTCTATTATTCATCATGCAACTGGCCAATAATGTTAATCAACATAGTAGTGTATTGTGAAATAATTCATTTATTTAGGGCGGCGTTATTCGTTCGATTACTATATTCCGTTAAAACGTACAGACAACAATACTTGACATGTTATATACCAAAAGTTTGAGTTTTCATGGTTTTTGATTTATGACTGTTCAAACCTTCCTTGTTACACATTTGCTTGGCGTGACTCTAATTAAAGTTACACTTTCCTTACAATGTGAGTCCATTGAACTGATCTGGAAGTTCATTGATATTTTGACTTCTGCAGAGCGATGTAGCTCAGGGAAGGTGAACCCAAACGATTCGATGGGTGTAGAAGACGATGTTCATCCTATGAAGCCTCCAAAGAAGGGCAGGAAAATAAAGCTGACAAGCAATGGAAGTATCCGTGTTAATAGCTTATGCGAAACAATTTGATTCTTGTTTATTTACTTTGGGTGTCTACGTTACTCTGCTATATGCATTTTTTATGTTCAATGTTTTATCTTCATATCAATTCCTTGTTATATGGATTTCCGTTCGAAGTTTTGCTGCCTTGACATCTGATAGATCAAAAGGTACATATAAAAGTGAAATTAAAGTCTCAGCCTGAAAATAAGAACATAGTCAATGACTTTGAGTTGACCAATGGAAACGAGAGCAAACATTTAAATTCTATTGCTGATCAAAGTAAGTGGTACTTTCTTTCTAATTCAATCTGGTGAAGTTTTTATTCTACTTCATTTGATGTTGAATAGTTTCTTGAAACATTTCACCTTTGTATGTACTGCTGTTATTAGTATTGCCTCCACGTTTGTGGTTTGCATTAGCTTGTGATCCTCCGTGATACATATTTCTAAGCCCACTTTTGTTTAGATGTGAAATATGTCAATCCAAGTCCATTATCTAGAGAAATTGATAGTACGGACTACAGAGGTAGCAGATGTGTTTGACTCTTGGGTTGCAGCTTCACTGTCGGGATAGATGTTTCAATTGGTAGCTATATAATGGTTGTGGCAAGGACCAACTTTCTGGTCAGGTTTTAATCGTGCCATTGCTTATTTTATGCTTCTTTGTTGTATAGGGTTCAAAACACCTGCCATCAATGCTCCTGAAAGTCGTTTTAGAGGTACAATGTACTTATCAGTATGCTTATGTTTTGTGCCGCTTATGTTTTCTATGCACATGCATCTAATCATGCTAACGACCATTTTTGGGAGCCAAGTTTGGTCTTAAACACGGAATTGGTTGGCCTTTGCAGAAATAATTTCCTTATTCGACAGCATCCCCTTTATACGTCCTATAAATTTAAAATCAGTCCGCCGTGCTTCAGCAAATGATATGATTTGACAGTGTCAATCAAAATATTGTTGATTTTGTGATGTCTCAGTGCCAACATGATGTCTGGAGTTACTCGCCAAAAAAAGGAGAATGATGTCTAGGAGTGAATTTTACTTATGTTATTCTTCTGGGGTTGAAGCTTAGAAATGCAGCAGTTGATTATTGTGAGCAATGCAAATATTTCTTAATTGTAGTTAGACATAGTTTAATCATCAATAATATGAGCTCCTACGCTGATGCCCACCCAACAGCTTTTTCTTCGATGGGGTTTCCAGTTTCAAATGCTACACGGATGTCGGTTTGTTTGGTATCAATTCTGGTTGATCATCATCACATTGACTCTTTCACTAGCAATTTTGTCGTCGGCAAAATCTTATTAGAAAAGCACATTAGAATATACGTGAAATATATGGGACTTGAATAATACTCCCTCCGTCCCATAATATAAGATTGTCTTGCAAGCTGTTTTAGCTTGCAAAACGATCTTATATTATGGGGCGGAGGGAGTATATGTAAAATATACTATACTAGTTTTTCACAAGGAAATACTTACATGCTAAACAAATGAATAAAATATACATGAAGGGTCTGTGTTACGCGAGGATCCGAGTGGGAACCACAGTTTCTTGTTCGGGTCCTATATTATTTCACATTGGCTTGGCTGTAAAACTTGCGCCTGTGTCTAGCTGGGGGCACCAATAACCTAGCAAATGATAAGTTTCTGCCTTCCAAGTTAAGGCTAACATCATACTGTTTTTTAAGTTTCTCTGCAAGGTAGTTCTTATGAGATGGTGTTATGATTTCTTCATTTAATTTATCAGATGTGCCAGCTCCTCTTGCTACAAAAATGTATCATTCACGGGGAAACTACCAGCTTCGATTGGAGCTTGCTCAGCTTTACCGTGAATCATGCGCGGAGCAGTCACACAGCTATGCAAGTAATACAACTGCAAACTCGTCACAGAATAATGGGTTGGTACCATGTGATAATTCAACATTACATGGTTCTGATGATTCGGCATTACATGGTTCTGATAATTCAGTATTACATGCTGCTCGGAACAGCAGCACTCCTCAAAAAAAGGTTCGGGGCCATCTCCTTGTGATCATAGGCGCAATATCTTAACATCTTCTGTTACTGAGTGGTGCATGTTCCCACAGCTTCTAGATCAGCTGCCTGCAAGCACATCAGGGTTGTGCTCAGGAATCTCTCCACAATTATCATCAAGCGGGCCAAGTCGTCTGCAGGCAACAAAAGCTCAGAGAGCAGACACTCCAGTATCTGCAGTTAGAAATGAATTGGGAAGAAGCAGGTGCAACAAAGCGGCAGTTCCTTCTTCAAAAACCACAGGTTAGAGCTGGATTTTAATACTTTTCTTTGTCCTGTAAAAAATAATTTGGCCATGTCGAATAAGTAATTAATCTGCTCATTATTAGTTGCTACTTTGTTGTATATCTTTTGATACTTTTACTGCTAAAATGAACATGGGAAGCATTTAGTTAGGGAAGACGTAATCATCACATGATTCATGATCCAGATCTGCATGGCAAATAATTTCAGGCATTTAATTTTGGTGTAGTTCTTCAATAATAAAGCAACAGTTTTTCTTTGAAAAAACACTAAAGTATCATGGTGTGCTTCAGTTCTGATATAAACTAAAGAGCAATTCATTTGTACCCTTAATCATTACAAGAATGTTTGATCTAATTTTATTGGAAGGCTCTTGTACCAGTACCTTTTTTTATGTCTCGAAACCTGCAGAAAACAAATGAGGCGTGCTTACATCATATTATTGATTTCTCTTCTCTAGGCAAAAAGAAGACGCAGAAGCAATCTAACGCTCTACCTGCAAGCTAAGCCTCAGTAGAGTAGCCCATTGATTGGTATTTACCTTTTTACTTTGTTGCCACGAATTTCAAATCTTGGAATTTGGTGCTGAACAATGACTAATCTTGGATCGGTCTCACAGGTTGTTCATTGGTATAGCCGCTTCATTGGTGAAAGTAATAGAGTATTTCATTTTGTTCATTTAATATGAAATTTGTTCTAGTCGGAATGACTTTGGGACCGGACGATCTGAATACAAGGTCATTTTGGTAAGTCTCTATCTGGAATTCAGTCCACAGTTAGCGCTGCATGTATATCTCATATAAACTTGATGTCATCTGTTTTTTCTGTAGGCTTGTTGACTCTTGTTAGAAGCTAACCACAACTCGTTCCGGCCCTGGTGATGTAACTAAGTGTAGATAAAGTATCCGCGAAGTCCTTATGTTTATGTGCTCCCCTTGTTATAAATGACATGATGAATGTCCTCCAAACCAGCAGCAGCATTGGTTTATTTATTTATTAGAATATCATCGGTTGCTTTCATGTTTTTTGAAGGTAAAGCCTCATGGCACTTTTATTCAATCTTTGGCAGGGTTATGTCGAGTAGTACATGCCATAACAAGAAACTGGGAGCTCCATCTACCCAATCATAACTAGTTTTAGAATCATAACAACCCCTAGCAGGATAATGTGCTAAACCATAAGCTTCCCTGGGACAATGCCTAAATGAAATCCATGAGCTAAATATGTAAGCAGTATGCCAAAACTGCTGCATAAGGACTCCATATTTCAATCTTCCCATTGCTAGCTTCGACCAGCTCCAGGCAATCGGACTCCATCACCACCTTGGTACAGCCGACCTTATATAGAGTAATTTCAGACCGCGAATTCCAGGTGATGTTGTAGAGCCAAGGATTCTGCAGTTCGGGCGTTTGAGAGTATGATCGAGATTCTGATGGCCCTGCCATAGCTTTCGTTGAAAATTCCGAAGAATTGCAATGATCACGCCCTCCTCCATCATCAAAGAAAGAAGCATCAATATTTATTTTATATGATCTTGGAGGAGGTTTCTGCCATCTTGCTCCAGGAACGGGTGTAGTCAGGACGAGATGCATGATTCGCCGTAATTGCTTGAATAGTGTTGTAAAACGAGATTGAATGAAAGTAATGGACTATTAGTCCGGATTTCTATTGATTCTCAAGTATATATACATCTGGAAGAGGTGGGAAGAAGATGTGCCTGTTTGGAGGCATCCCTCAATAGAGAGAGGAGACATGACTATTCGGGGTTGGACACACTAATCTTGAGAATCTCCCCCCAAAACCCTGTGGAAAAAATATGAGGAGAATAGAGTAGATATGTTGCTAAAACTCCTTTAAACCCAATGAAAAAAGAATAAGGAGAAAAGGTGCAACATATAATGATTATTGTCTCCTTGATAACTCATATGAGAAAACCTTTGAGAAATGAGAAAACTCATTGGTGAGTTTGGAGAACAATAAATATGCTTTGTATACTTTCCTTTAATAACCTCAGTGGGGAAAAATAGAAAGTATTGCATATGTCACCTCATTAAACCTTTTATGAGAAACTTTGAAGGAAAGCTCATAAGGGAAAAGAGTGTGATCTAATATGTCATTGAAAACTCCTTTAAAAGGCAGTGGCAAAAATATAAGGAGAAATATATGACATATCATGATAATTGTCCCTTCAACTCAAATATGGGAAAATCCATAGAGTTTAGAGGATAATAAATATGTTGTGTATACTTTCCTAAAAACCCCGGTGGGAAAAACAGAAAGTATGACATATGATCTCATGTTGATATTAGCTCATTAAAAACCTTGATGAGAACCTGCAAAAGTAAACTTATAAAGAGAAAAGGAGTATAATATGGTCCTTTGAACATGAGTAATTCAGGAAGATACTCCCACTGATACTTGCATATCTTGAAGTATTGAATAACAATTCCATGAACATGTTTCTAGAATGTTGAAGTTGGTAGAGATTTCATGGTTGTCACATGATTTGACTTGTAGATGAAAAATATGAAGATATTGCTTACTATGTACCCTGTTTGTATCCAGATAACACACACAACATTATCTTTGAGATGATGGTTGGTGGATGTAGCCACTAAGGTCTATTTCGAAGACTTTCATGGTATGGCTACCACACCTAGGAGGAACACAAAGCTTGTCTATGATCTAACATAGTGGGGATCTAACCGATTTATCCAATGATATTGGTGCCAAGATTTCTCTAAAACTGAAAAACTAGGACAAGATATTTGATGCCTTGGAGATATCGAAAGATATTCTTGAGCCCCAACCAATTATGTGTGGTGGATCCAATGGCACTAGGATATGAAACTTTATGTCCCAATATCGCATTCTCATCAACTCATGGTTTTAATGAATCTTTCTCTATGTCTAGAGAGCGAAGCCATGCGAGTTATGGATGCATAAGATTTATCCATAATGAATTTCTTCAATATATTTTGAATATAGACAACATAGCATACCATAAAGTATGAGTGAAGGTGATCGAGGTTTTACCCAATCCTTCATCTCAAAATCCGTTATTAAGATGATCATGTGCTTTGTCATTGCGGGAGTAATCCCTGTGTACGACAGACATGCATGTGTAATCATCATTGTAGGAGTAATCCTTGTGTATAAGGAACTCACTATGTCGATTGTACCAAAATGTACCGACAACAATAAGTCATATGGTGACTTATTGGTTTTTTTACACAGTGTATGTAGCATTTTGCATTTTGGTTCAGAAGTGATATTCCATTGGGAACCATCTATGTCCGAATCTAGTGACCGACATCGATATGTAATCACTACACCTATCAACTGCATAGATAGATGATTTGTACTGCCAATGATATGAGTTATCGGAAAGAGATTCCACCTCTGGAGAATAGTTGGGTATCTGCGTAAACCCTTGTGCTATAATACTTGCTCTATGTTTCACCACCTCATTGTTCTCAATTCTGTTTCCAGAAGAAAACTGGCGTAGGTATTGCTTATGTGAATACCTTTCCCTTTATTGAGCAAGATTATTTCTACCTAGATTATACCCTTTGCTCGACTTTAGTCTGAGTGTTGTTCACACTTTGCCATGGCCATGGTCTTTGGACCTGAATCACGTGAAATGTTTTTCAATCTAGTTGATAAATGTATGTCTACAATTGTAGACTTCCGGTTATATGTTTCTCCAGAATCTATATATCAATATAGAGTTGATGGAAAAATCGTTACCCATGGTGACTATTCGCGATTTCCAAAGCCGTTGAGTCGGGTATTCCGGTGTCCCAGTCATTGTGTGCACTATGACCTGGGTTAGTGGAGGTTGCTCGTTCACTAGGTGTATACTACCCATTAGGTGTCTGCCAACATGAAGTTGACTTGCATTTACTGATTCAGAGGCCTCGGTATCCTTGCTTGCGAGAAGCTGAATCCTAATGTAGTATTGCCATACTTCTCCCCCTATTGCTGTGAACGGGGAGTTGAGTGGTTTTTGTTGGTACCTCCACTCTTTCAGGCATATTTTTGCAGAATTGTAGGATTATGTGACACCTTAATTTATATTCAGTAAATGAATCTGGCATGTTATTTGCAATGCGTTGCAAATCTTCCGAACACATGGTTGAAATCTTTGAGTACGTGGACTTGAGGCAGAAATGTGTTGAGCATTCCACTAATTTCCTGGCATTCTTTATGGTACTTGAAATCTGCCCCTAATGCCTAGAAATGTTCCTCATTGAATCAACATACTGTCCATAAATAACCCCCCATGTGAGGGGCTTGAGGTATTGACGGAAATATAGTTATTCCTCACATAGATCTCAAATATATGTTGAGGGGTCAATGATGTATATCGGGGTGATGACATCGGTATGAAACCGAATTACCGCAGATGGGAAATACTTGGTAGATTTCCACTTATCAAAGATAGAGGGGGATAATATTATGCCGTTTGGTCGTGAGCGTGTAAAACTACATGACTCTAACATAAGTTGGTAAGTTGCAATTGTGAGGTAAAGATCATGCGATGAGCTTAATTCTTTGGATAAAGAATTCTACCAAACCATTTGGAGTCTAGACATTAGGGCAATGTGTTGAACTTCAATCCTAAGGCCGTAAAAGCACGAAGGAGAATTCTACAACTTTGTCCATTCGACTTGCTTGTAATCAATGATCAGGATAATCTGCCAATGGTTTTCGTGTGGATGAAGGTGCACTTGAGACCATTGTATAGATTTGTCTTTTAAGACCATGGATACTTGTTTAGTCTAGCCAATGGTTGGGAAGAGCCACTTACCTCGACTTGATGTGATCAAGGAGTCTGAGTGGTTCAGCGTAGACTTTAAGGTGCACGAGCCTTAAAAATCAGCCTCCCTGTGTTACATAAAGTACACATAAATCCAAATATTGTTAGAATTTAGCATCTTTATAGTCATAAACCAATGGAATTGCTGGTAGTTTCGGTTTCAACCCAATGTCTAGATGACCAAGGTGGGTATGCCAAGTTTGTCATGTAAAGGATATTTTGGAAAACTATCTTGTACGCAACATGTGCTATGGGTTTTGTAGTATGTGTAGTGCAATCTTGATGATACATAGAGAATGTGCTTTCCATATCAGTTGTATATGGTAAAGAGAAGATATTCCTCTTTGTTGTCATCATAAGTTTCGCTATGGAAACTATTTTGACGGATATCTCTATAGTTTAATATGGTATGAGTTGACTCAGGCACGATGAAGCATCCTTGATTCTACTCGAGTACCCATAGGGATAGTAAATATGACTCAGTTGAGCCAATAGTTACATCATAGCATCTAGCGATAGTTAAATATTTCACTTTCTCTCATTGAGAGTGGAAACATTTCACTTCCCTGAGTATATAGAGTTCTTGGTGCATATGTCCACAAGGCACATATCATCTTCCATCGGATCGACCCTCGTAGAAATCTATATATAGACCTGAAGATTCTCAATATGAAAATCACTGCCA